TYKTTYSWTTTYTWTYWTTWTYMYTWTTWTWWTWWWWTTAYTATTAYTATTATCCCGCAATYAGATGAAGATGTGTATAAGAGACAGTTATTATCCCGCAATTAGATGAAGATTTTCTTCGGTTCCGGTAACTTTGCAGAGAGGTCAATGGTTCGAGTTATGAACATGACTGCGGTCTCTGGCCAGACTGGTCGAGTATGTCATTCTCAAGCCGACGGTTGGGGGTACGCTCAGGCACCGCGCGGTAGGACCCCAAAAGAAGGGCGACCCGCGGCCGCATCGGTAGGAAGCTTATCACCYCWGGRAGGGGTCATAGGCCCCCTCCTTACCATCRRRCACRRGCACCYGACGGGGATAGGCCGAACTTGTACTTTWAAAAGGAGAATGCGATCGATGGTATCCMGTTATGGGACCACCGCCKSAGAATAGCAGTCACTTCTTAGTGAGACGACGCAACAMGGACCGGTAGMARAAGAGTTGTGGATACCACGRCCATAAGTTATTTTTCTTTTTCTTTCTCTTGRTTTTCTTTTGTGAAAAATYATAATTTTAAAATCATCCCGTCTATTTTCRAATTTTTACCAAGTCTTGAAGCTTCCCGTTTAAAACGCAGGTAGCTCRGCATGAGGCAAATCTATAAAAGACAGCAGACGAGGGGGTGAGCAGGGTGAACTATTCCGCCACATTTAGCGTTGCTGGTCTGAGGGTCTGAGAGGGGAGCGGTGAATGGCCTGGGCCATCCGAGTGTGTGTACCCAAGGGTGGGTCCGTGACCATTTTTGAGTGGCTATGGCTTTGCACGGGTATAGACCCAACTACTGGTATCACCAGATTCGGTGGAAGCCTATGTCCGGGGAGGGGTGCTGGATGACGACAATACTCAACTACGATGGGGGAGACGAGTTAAGACTGAGGAGCAACGTGCAGGGGGGAAAAGAGGAGGAGATGCGGACTGATRRAAGGCTACACGACGCTATCACARAGAYGAAAGATCGTGTGAAAAGGCRCTGCARAAGGGACGGTGTAACGRCGAAAAATGCAGGTAACGGTCTCATATCATGAGACCGAGACTTCGATGGACACGGCAGACTGACAGCAGGCTCACCTGGAACGAGACTAAGGTTGCGAGAGCGAGATGAGCGAGGCGGAGGACCGGGAGACGGACCTCAGGTCCTGGATCAGACCAGGCGAGATACAGAGGCATCACYGGGCTGCGAACCCGGTGGAAGAGGGACCTGAGGCCAGCTCACGACAGCTGACGCCCAGAGGCCGTGGGACTSGGGAAAAACAGGGCAAAGGGAAGAAACGTGMGTGAGGCGAGAGGGAATCGATACGMGKGGCGAGAGGGTCARCAGSGAGTAGGTTKAGGCAGGGACGCGTGGCACGTGAGACATTCGACAGKTGTCGTGMRAGAGAGAGAKATAGAAGGTCAACGTGTGAAAGGAGAGAGAGGAGGTTGTCGTCAACGCTGCAGGCTATGCCCAGGAATGAGGAGTGAGGGCAGTTGGGCGTGTGTGCGGACTGTACGTGGCAAGGGCCAGGAGAGCTAGAGGGCAGTCGACGAAGAGGGAGACAGAGTATAAGCGGGAACGGGACGAGTTCGCGGAGCGGGCCTGATGTTAACTGAACGGCGTGTGCAGCGAGCCAGAGGTGACGAGATGAGTGGCGCACATGAGTGTCAGGGATGTGCTCAGACTGCAACATCAGATTTGACTTCAGCATAAGTTGTATGGATGAGCGTACTCGATCTTGTTGGAGATGGTTGACCTCAACCGTTGTCTCCGCGCGTGCTTAGAGCATTTTGTGGCTAATAAGCCGCGGTGAACCTCCGTGACATGCTGGTCAACTGTTTGTCTTCACGCTCGCTCAGAGTACATTGTGATTGATGAGTCACGACAAGCCTCTGTGACACGTCAGAGCAACCAGCCTCCGTGACTCTTTGAGTATTYGCCAGAAGTGACTCGGCTTTGTTTCATCTTGCATGCCTCTCTTGAGTGATGGGTCTTAAAGCGTTCACGGCTCGTTCGCYGAGCAGCTACGATATAAGCACGAGAAACAAACAGGTATGGATGAGCTCTTTTTAGTACAAGGGACGCTGCTAGTTTTCGCTAACCCCATCTAGTAGATGTTTGACGGCACGATCTCGGCTAGGAGATGCTTCGGCGTGCATCTGCTGGTGGTCAGGCAGACGAGGGAGGAGTGAGAGGGAGGGTGGAGGGAGTAGAGAGTTCGGCTCGWGTGGAGGGAGTAGAGAGTTCGGCTCGGGTGGATCTGTTGGCGTTATCATTAYAGCGGTCGAAGTGTGCATGAACAGTTTGATCAAGAACTAGCCGTTGTGAGAGTCTCACTCCCCTGAAAGCGTTTTTCACTTACYGGCTGGTGCGCCTGCACTGATGACTATCTGTCTTGCAACCCTCGAGTGACTTCAGACCTACGACGGGCATTGCTATGAAGGTCATTGACACTCTTACTCGTGAATGTCCTTGCCTAACCCTCAGAAAGGGCAGGCGACATTGCAAGATAATTTCCCGTGTTCTCTTATCATCAGTTTTTTTACCTTCACCCGTTTTAATTGATTGGGACTATCGATCATTATTAACCGATCATCTTGCAACTAAACAAATGTTAGACCAGCGGTAGACTGCATGAGCAAGTGGACAGGGGAAAACATCTGTCTCATAATGGCGATCTGAAAAGCGCAAGCCGCGAGGAAACACAGCATATAGATCACAAATTAAGAGAATTGGCGAGGATAAAGTGATTGGATAATCTTGGTGTGGGCGCATGTCCACTGAATGTTCTTTTTTCTTTCTTTCTTTTGTCGAGTAGTATATTTGAACTCTTGGCGAGGAAAAAGGGGCATGCAGTCTTCTTATTCGTTGCTTAAGCCTTGCAGGGATGCAGATTGAAAGTACAATCAGGATTCAGACTCTTCCTTCTTTTTCCTTTTTCCTCTTTCTTCATCTGTGTGAGATTGCACGGTGTTGATCGTGTCATGTGACTACACTAAGCGACTACACTGCGCAACTGCGTCGTGCAACTGTATTTGTGAGGGTACACTGTGTGACTGCACCGTGTGACCGCGTCGTCCGACTGGACTGTGTGGTTACACTGTGAGATTGCACTGTGTGGCCGCATGAGCGTAAGGGAGCGTAGGGCGTAGGCTTATAAGTGCTCACTTAATTGAATGATGGTCAATAGTGGTATGAGTTCGTCTGTGTCCTAAGACAAATTAAGTATGTGATTGCACAAGCTTG